GATGTACTTTAGAGCGCGTGGTATTCAGTTTGCATTTTAGGTGGCTCTGCCTGCAGGACTGAGAATAGATTCTCAGTGGTTAAGGCTGAGGCTTGGATACCCTCTGGGTCAAAGGTCATGGGGGCCGTCAGGTGGCACGGCGGTTAAGGGTAAGGCATTGGACTCTCACATGGCTGGCCACGGTTTGAGCCCCAGACCTGACCACTTGCTTTCACTTGTCTTTTTCTTTCTCTGTCTCTCTCTGGTGAGTAAAAATAAAATAAAAAATAAGGTCGTGGGCTGGAATGGCAGTGGGCAGTTCTCTTTTAAAGAGATTTCTGCTATAGGGCGTGTGCACTCACCAGAGAGAAAGTGGCAAGTACCGCCCAGGGGAGAGGCCAGTCCACAATGCCGTCTCTCCCATCTTCCTCTCGGGATTTTGGGCACACCCCTGCCCACCGGGTCCTGGATGCGAACCACAGTCAACTACGCGGGGGTCCAGCAGTGTAACCATTACACAGCTACCTGCTGGTCCCGGCCCAGTGTTTCTCAAAGTACCAGGACTGGAACTCAAACTGGTTCGCTCTGTGGGCCTGGTTTCCCGTACGCCCTGGTTCGGAGAGAAGCTAAATATGGTCTGTGAGGAGAGGGACTGACTGCCCTGGCTCCTGTCCCGAGCAGCCGGGTGGACAGTGGCACTGAGGAAGCCCAGGGCAAGAGCACAGGAGAGGGTGGAAATGCGGCGGGACTGTGGGAGTCGCCTGAGAGCTGCTGGCCGTGAGCCGACATGGCAGCACCGAGAGGAGAGGCGGTTTAGAAAGGTACTCGGGGTCAGCAGGTGGCATGGTGGTGGTTAAGGCTCCCACATGGTTGACTGCAGTTCGGGTCCCGGACCCTGAGGCTTGAAACTCACGCCGGGAGTGTGTGTGCCCAATCCCAAGAGGAGAGTGGAGAAGGGATTGCAGCGTGGCCGTCCCCCCAGGGGGTGACTTCTCACTCCCTTATTGTCTCTGTCTCTCTGGCCAGCGCACACACCCTATAGCCAAAAAAAACTCCAAAAAAAAAAATTAGTAACAGGTACTTAGGGCCGGCCGGTTGCCTGGTGGTTCAGGACTGGACCCCACATGGTGGGCTGTGTACAAAGTCCCAGGTCTGGTGCCTTGAAAAACATGTGGCACGCGTGTTTTCATGCCCAGAATCCTGAGAAGAGAGAGAGGGGATTGCAGCGTGGCCGTGCGCCCCGGGAGTGCTCGCTCTCTCGTTCACTCTGTCTTTAGCGCATGCACACACCCCATAGCAGACTGAAAACAAAACAAAAGCAAACTCCTAGGCCCCGCCTCGGCACAGGAAAGTAGAGCACTTGAATCTGAGTGCTTTCAGGCTCTCACCAAGTCGCTGGGTCGGCTCGGCTGAGATCCCTGTGGCACTGGGGGCTGCTGGGGGCTGCTGCCGGGAGTCCGGAGCTCGGAACAGACCGTCCGGGCAGTCTCTAGGGAGGATAGCCAGAGCAGAGCTCTGATTGGGGACCAGCAGGAGGCGTGGTGGTTAAGGCGCTGGATACTCCCACAGGGCCGACCACGGTTCGAGTCCCGGACCTGGTGACTGGTTTTCTTTCCTTCCTTCTCTTTCTCTCTCTGTGTCTCTCTCTGGTCAAATTAAAATAAATGAATGAATAAATTAAATAAAATTAAATGAGATACTTTTTTTAAAAAAATTATTTTATTTTTATTTATTCGTTCATTTTTTTTTTTTTTAATTTGACCAGAGAGAGACACAGAGAGAGAAAGAGAAGGAAGGAAAGAAAACCAGTCACCAGGTCCGGGACTCGAACCGTGGTCGGCCCTGTGGGAGTATCCAGCGCCTTAACCACCACGCCACCTGCTGGTCCCAATAAGATACTTTTTTTAAAAGTGGCATTTGGAGCTTTCACTGGTGGTTTTTTTGTTTGACAGAGAAGCTAGGGAGAGAGACAGAGACAGGCATTCCCGAAGGTCTCCCTGTGCCTCGATCCTCCTACCTATCTCTCTGCGCGCGGGCCCATGGGTGTGCACCCCGCTCCCCGCCCCACACTCGGCTTTGCTGTGGGTGTGCTGTTGAACAGCGCCTGTGTCTGTCTGATGTTCCTCATGAGAGTCAGTCACCTAGAGACAGACCTCACGTTCCCATCCTGGCTTCCCACCTGTGCCCAAGCCTGCTTTCCGCACGACAAGAGGAGGATGTCACTGACTCCCACTTGGCCAACTGCTGTTCAAGCCCCGGACCCGGAGGCTTGAAACAATGCCGGGCACGTGTGTGTGTGTGTGTGTGTGTGTGTGTGTGTGTGTGTGCCCAAGGTCCCAAGAGGAGAACGGAGGGGAAAGGATTGCAGTGTGGCCATTCCCCCAGGGGGTGATTTCTCACTTTCTGGCTCTGGTTCTGGCATTCTGGCGAGCACTTGCGTCCTATAGCAAAAATCTCCCCCCCCCCCAAAAAAGACAATAGAATGAACTTTAAAAGGTTGTTGTGATGGGACCAGCAGTTAGCGTAATGGCTATGTCCCTGGACTCCCACGTAGTTGACCGCGGTTCGCATCCCGCACCCGGTGGCTTAAAACTCACGCCAGGCGCGTGTGCGTGTGTGCGTGCCCAAGATCCCGAGAGGAGAATGGAGGAGAAGGGATTGCGGCGTGGCCATCCTCCCTGGGGGGTGATTTCTCGCTTTCTGTCTCACTGTCTTTGTCTGTCTGGCGAGCGCACCCGCCCTATAGCAAAAAACTCTTCAAAAGAAAAAGAAGGTTGTTGTGAGATGGGGCTGGCAGGTGGTGTGGTGGTTGAGGTGTTGGACTCCCGTGCGGCTGGCTGCGGTTCTTGTCCTGGACTTGGCAGCTTGAGAATCATGCCAGGTGCATGTGCACGCATGCACAAAATCCTAGGAGAAGGGATAGTGGCCTGGCCGTCCCCTCACAGGGTGATTTCTCCTGTTCTCTCTGTCTCTCTCCAGGGAGCACATGCGTCCGATGGCAAATCCTTAAAAAATAAAAAGCTTTTAAAAAGATGTGAGGATCATGGGAGATAGCGCATGAAACGTCCAGAACAGTGACTGGCACAGAGTAAACGCTCAAATGACAGTTGTGTATTCAAAATGCTTTATAGTGGCCAGCAGGTGGCATGGTGGTTGGAACACTGGACTCCCACTTGGCCGACCACAGTTTGAGTCCCAGACCTGACAGCTTGCTTCCCCACCTTCTCTTTCTCTGGTCAAAATAATAAATAAAAATAAAGTGATTCTTTAAAAAAATGCTTTATATAAAAATATTGGTTTTATAATTAAAGATGAAGAGAGTTGTCTCTGAAGTAGACCTTTCTTTAAAAGATGAGAGGAAGAGAAAAAGGTTTTTTTTTGTTGTTTTTGACCAGAGAGAGAGAGACACAGAGAGAGAGAGAGCCGGGGGGGGGAAGGTGAGAAAGCAAGCCACCAGGTCCGGGACTCAAACTATGGTCGGGCATGTGGGAGTGTCCAGCGCCTTAACCACCACACCACCTGCTGGTCCCGAGAAAAAGTTTTTAAGAATTATTTTAATTTATTTATTTGGAATTATCTATTTATTTAAATTTGACAGGGACAGAGTGGGAGACAGAGAGGGAGAGAGGGAGAAAGCAGGGCGAGAGGTCCAGGACTCGGGCTGCGGTCGGCCTTGTGGGAGCCCAGCGTCTTAGCCACCCGCCGCCTGCCGGCCCGCAAGAAGGAAGGGTGACAGGAGATGGTCGTGTTGAAGTCCTAGGAGGAGGACGCGGTCAGGATTGTTGGGTTGGTGACTTAGAGGATTTTCCATAGAGGGTTTTTGTCGTCAGTAGTTCTTGAGCCCTTGGAAAGGTGGTTATGTCTGGTTCAGAATTATATATTGTTACACTTCGTAATACAAAAAGGGGCCCAGCCTCGGTGGAAGGTGGCAGCCTGGTCTGCGATGCTCGAAGCCACGTGGCAGCCCAAGGTGGGTTCCGACACCGGTCGGCCTAGACACCGGTTGTGTGCGTGTGCACACAGACACACATGCGTGCTCTATCGTGCCCTTTCTTGTGAAAGAACAAAATTAACTTTAAAAAGTGATTAAAAACTCATGGCCGGCAGGTGGCATGGTTAAGGTGCTGGTCTCCCACATGGTTGACCACAGTTCAATCCTGGACCTGGCAGCTTGCTTTCTTAATTTTCCTTCCTCCCTCTATCTCTCTGGTTAAATAAAATAATAATAATGGCAAGTAAAAGGAAGTAATTTTTAAAATGATAAAAAGTAATAATTTGTGGAGCACGTTTCCATTACGAAGCGCACTGGCAGTTTCACCCAGCTCTCCACTTCTCTCCGAGGTCCGAGGAGAGTATCAGGAGACGCCGAGAGATGACAGAACTGGGCTGCAGGCCAGGTCTCCCGGGCTGTAATTTGCTACAGAGTGCTTGTGCTCCCCAGGGGAAAGAGCGAGGGCCAGTAAGGACACAGCCCCACCTGGGGGTGACTGCACCGCAGCCCTTTCTCCTGAGGATGTGGGCACACACGCACGTGCACCTGGTGTGTTTTTCAAGTCACTGGGTCAGGGACTCAGACCACACAGTTACCCTGGGGGGTCCAGCTGCCATAACCACCACACCATCTGGCTGGCCCTGGGTCTAACTTCTTTTTGGATTTTTGCCACAGGGCACTCTCCAGACAGAGACAGAGAAGGAAAGTGAGAAATAACTCCCTGGAGGAGTGGCCGTACCAAGATCCCTCCCCTGCACTCTCAGGATTTGGCGCGCACACGCCCCACGTGACTTCCAAGTCGCTGGTCCGGGACTGGACAGGGTTGGCCACGTGGGATCCGGCGCCCTAACCCCCCGCCCCTGCTGGCCCCTAGGTCTTCTGATACCGGGGGTGAGATGGTTGGTTTCCCGAGGCCTGAATCTAACCAGGTCTTTTTGTCCTGCGCAGCCCCTCGCTCAGTTCCGGGCAGACGCGTGTTCAGGCCCGACTGAGCGGCGGGCTCAGCCGGTAACGCCTCTTCTGCCCGCAGCGCCCGCACAAGGCCAGCGCGGAGGAGATGACCAAGTACCACAGCGACGACTACATCAAGTTCCTGCGCTCCATCCGCCCCGACAACATGTCCGAGCACAGCAAGCAGATGCAGCGCTGTGAGTCCGCCGCCGCCTCCCAGGGGTGCCGGGTCCCTGTTTCCTGGTGGTAAATAGTAGGGTTTTAGCCAGCGGGTCCTCCGCGCTGTCCCAGGAGCACCGTGGTCGCCGTGATGGGAAGGCGCTGCTGGACGGCGGCCGGATGCAGGCCTGCCCTAACTGGTGGCTGGGACAGCTCACTGCCCCTCCGCTGCCGCTGCCCACTGGCCGGGGCCTCAAGCTCTGCCTTCTGCCCAGATGTTGCTGCCCTGGCTTTGTGAGTCTGAGAAGCTGGAGGCCTCCAAGGGACAGGCCATAGGTGATGAGATCTTTGAGATGAGACAGTTCTGCCCCTGCCGCTGGGGTTCAGAACGCCAGTACCAGTCCCAGCTCAGAAGCCACACTCAGGTTGTAGGAGTTGTTGGGATTATATTAGCTGGGGGGGGGGCGTGTTCAAATCTGGGTCAGAACTGTCATACCCGACCTGACCTCGCTGGTTTTTGTTGTTGTGTTTTTTGTTTGTTTGTTTGTTTTTTGAGAGGTTTTTGCTATAGGGCACGTGCACTCGCCAGAAAGAGAGACAGAGAGACAGAAAGCGAGAAATCACACCCCCCCCAGGGGGGATGGTCACGCTGCAGCCCCTTCTCCTCCATTCTCCTCTCGGGATCTTGGGCACGCACACACACACACCCGGCATGAGTTTAAGCCACCAGGTCCAGGAACCCGAACCACGGTCGACTACATGGGAGTGCAGCGATGTAGCCATTACGCTGACTGCTGGTCCCATCTCTTTTTTAGGAAGGGTTATTTTAGAAATGACCACTTAGCACCTGAGACCTCGTGCAAGAAAGCAGGGTAGTACCTGCCCAGACGCTGGAGGTCATGGCGACAGCTTATGCCGCTGTCTCGGGGGGTCCATGGCACCCGTTGTTGCTCCTGGTCTCTTCCCTCAATTTTGCCGGAGGATGTGTATACCTGACAGAAAGAGAAGCACCCCCTGGGGGATGGCCATGTCTCAGTCTCTTCTCCAGTTCTCCCTCCTTTCGGGGTTCCGGGCACACACAGTACTTCTCAAGTGCAGCGCGCCCCGTGGGATCCCGCTGCCTCGGTCGCTGTGCTGCACTGGCTGTGCTGGTCTGAAGGTGTTCTGATTCCTGAGGACGGAGAGGACTTACCGGCTACCATAGCTGTGCAGTGGTGAGGGTGACAGAACCAGAGACCTTCGAAACACCGAGCTCCTTTGTTACCCGTAGTCCCAGAAATTGCTGTGCCCCTGGGTGAAGGGTTTGGGAAGGGTTTCTCTCTGACTCGGCAGTGTCTTCCAAGCCAAGACAGATCCATTCCTTGAGTGTAAGTGGCCTTAGGGGTTTTCATAACCCATTTAAGCCGAAGGCCAGGCTCTACTCTCAGCAGTGTGGACTGATTAGGAAAACAGTTTGGTATTGGGACCAGCAGTTAGCGTAATGGTGATGTCGCTGGATTCCCATGTAGTTGACTGCAGTTCGTGTCCTGGACCCGGTGGCTTAAACTCACGCCAGGTGCATGTGCAG